ATACGCTCCACAGTTTGTTCACTTGATGTATGATCCTCCTGTTTTCCTCATTCTGTCCTACATGATCTGTTATTAAAATATTTAAATATTCTTTACCAACTATACCATCACCCCCTGGGTTTTTTGGGGGTTCTCCACAACCTGAAATTGTGACACCAGTGTTTGAAACTGGGCGTCTTTGCTGTCTGAATACAAAAGCCAAGTATGTTCGGAGTAAGGCACTTATGGTTGCATTGCATAGACTCGGAGTAGAAACCACAAGCGTAGACATAAAACTACCCACAGAAGCGAGGAGTTACAGCAAAGTGTTTTGATATGTAGGCAAAAATCTATGCTTCAAATCACCTTTGGAAAAATAGTTGCAATTTGGAAGCTATATTTGTCGAACGCAAAAGATGCCATTACTCTGGATTTGTTTTTGTTTGCTTGCTTTGAACAAGAAGGCAGAAGTCGGGTTCAAAAACCAGAAGCTTCACTTACAAATGAGTCACTGCTGAGCAGCAACTCTGCAGATAAATTATGGACTGAGAGGAAGAACAAAATATTACTGCAAAGGAAGTCGGTGTACTTAGAGCCAAAAAAGAGTTTGACACTTTGTTCATTGATAAAACCACTACAGGAACCCCCACTCACAGCACACCATAATCCTCCTTATCATGAACTAAACACCCAGTGACTAAATATACGAACTCTTATTTAAGCTTCATTTTATTTGATACAGAAAAGAGTAGGAAAGAGAGAAAAAAAGCACTTCTGCAGAGAAGCCACTGAGCTATAAAGAGATGATGGTCACAACCACAGAGGATAGCTTGGTTTTTAAAAAAAATGAGCTAAATTGAGAGTGAGATATAGACAAAAAAAATGACAGGATGTGCCAAAAGATTATGGACAGAGAAGTAACTTGAGTAGGCAGGGGATGACATGAAAAGCTGAAAATAAAAAAAGCAAGCAGTAGATAAAACACAGGAAACCAAAGCAGCTGTGGAAAAGAGACAGAAAACGGCAAACAAAAAGATAAGTGGAAGGAGAACAACAAGGGAGCAGTAATGCCATAATGAGTTCTTATGAATTTAAAAGCACAAAGGAGTAATCACTTAGATGAAACCTTAGCTAACACGATGACACATGAGAAATAATTGGAAAGCTTCATTAAAGTAAAATATTGCCAAAAGCTCTTCTTTGACTCAAACTTGTTTTATGTTTCACATGAACTTATTCGATTTTTGAGTTAGAAATTCAAATTAATTATTTGTATATCGACAATACGCATTAGCTTTGGAAAACATGGAGGTTTAGATTCTAGATCTTTTCGTAATTCTATAAGAACACTTGCTATCAGCACATATCTTTGTATATAACAGGAGCAAAGGGAGTTTAGCTCACTGGACCCACCAGAACACTGACAGATCCGATTAGCCGTCAGCATTAATGTCCTGTGCCGGGACCACGATGTTTTCCAGTTATTTACAGGGTAATATGTGTCTGGTTCAGGCTGTTAGCTGCAGGGCACTGACAATGGGAGAGGAGATGGATGTTTGTCACACAATGGATGCAACATCTGCACTGCCTTATAGTGATTATCATGGAGTTTGCTTCAGACAAATACTGTCAGATATTTCCCTGTAATGCCTCGGAACAAATGCAGTACTGCGTTACTTGACAGATGTTGCTGTATTTTCTTTTATCACAACCACAGCACAAATAACTTGTAAATGAATTTCTGCAACTGTTGGCATCAGTGTTTAGTCTGAGTTCAACACTTGATGCTTAGCCATGTTGAAAGCCTCTTGGTATTAAGGAAGCTAAAAACTACTATATTTATCCCAACATAAGGTTAAATATTGTCGTAGCTCACATCATCCAAGTAGCTAGAAAATGATTTTTATGGATGGTGATTTTGTGGGCAGAAAGATTTTCCAGTAACGGTCAGTCTTGCGCTGTTGTTGGCAAACACTGCTACTCCACCTCATTTGCTTTTGCAGCTCTTCTCTGTTTCTGTGCATCTCTCTTTGGTCATGTGGTCATTAGGCCGGGCAGAGAGACACTGTAGTCAGGGAAATGAACCTCACCCATGTTCGATGAAAATAATAGCTTGTACTTCGTCCTTCTCTATCTGATACTGCTCTGCATGCAAGAATAATTGTTTTCAACTCTTATTGCCACTGTTGCACATCATAACAATTTTCTGAATCAAATCTGACTGATGCAAAAATCAGCTGAACCCCCGTGCATGCGTTACCTTCCCAACTTAGAACTTTCTAAAAGTGCACGATCAGGACCAACATATATTGACTTGCAGAACTAATCACGTCCCTTAAACCGTTTTCACATTTTGCCTCAACCACAAATTTCTATGTATTTCATTGTAATTTTACACTGCATTATAGACCAAGACAGTAAGTAGTAGTACTAAGCAATGAGTTATTTTATCTCTAATCTGTTTTAAAGGCTAACAAGGTGTTTTTTTTTTAAAGTACCTACAGTCATAGCAAAGAGTATGTGACTGTAAATCAAGAGATGAATTTTTTTTTTTGCTAAATAGCTACAGTGTCTGGTAGCAGCAATTATTAGGTCTAACAATGGATTGTCTATTGGATTTTAAGCCACACTTTGAGTTGTCTGTTCTCTCTGGACCGTTTCTTAAAATCCCAATAAAACACTTGGAAACCACGTGTAGTCATGTGGCATAGCATGTAAAGGTTGAAAGTGTATAGACAGCTTTGCACTCAAACATTCTTGAAGCTTTGCCAAACTGATATATTCCATATTCTTAGGGTATTTCAGGAAACAAAAGACTGTGATGTCTCGTAAAAGAAAAGCAAATGCATTCCTGAAATGTGAGCAGTCGCTGTGACTGAACAGAACCACATTTCGGTAACAGATAAGACATCCCAACGATGAAAAGCAGAAGAAACACAATGCTCCGGCCGTTAGAGGAAAAACTGTTGCGATCAGCGCCAAAACAGATCTCCTTTTACCAGCAGCAGCAATAACTGCTTAGTGATTAATTTTCCAATGAAACAAAGGCTTATCTGATATCTGTACGACTTGCAGATGTTCTTCCATCTCTGTGTGTGTCATGTTTTTGCATCACTTCGCTTCCCTCAGTTCAGAAAGTGCTGCTGTATTTCAGTAGGTTTTGACTGCCTGGTGTTGTCACCCTGGTCTCTATTATTTCTGTAACATCGTGCCAACGTCTGCTAAATATATATTTGTTTTGAGTTTTCTTCCATCAGTGTTGCTTTCAAAGTAGTTCAGGTCTTTCTAAGAAGCTCTAAAGGTTCTTTCCAGACACTAACAGCATGCAAAGTAGATTACCATACATTTCAACATTTTCCACGCCAGCTTCAGTATGTTTATTTACTTTTCTCCAGTGACTTTCCACTCAGCCTGCCCCTTTTCCCTCCTTGTGGCATTTTCAAGAGGTAACTAGGCAAAAGGAGAAAAAAAAGTTTGTTTTTTTCTTTAGACTCTATGAGCAAAGGTACTTTTTTTTAAATATATACTTCATGGTGAACAAACTCATCGCAAATATTTGATTAAAAGTCATCTTTTATTTTATTCCAAAAGATAAACGTGCTTCATTCATTCGCAGTGCAAGAGTACAGTATTAGGATTCTTCTCCTTTCCTTATTCATTTCTTTATTTTTGACCATATTGTGTTCAAACACAAGATGTTTCCTTGGTGATAGGGCTTTGGATATTTTGTATGCTGGGTTGTGAAGCATTTAGGAAATGCAACCAGTTCTGCAGAATCCGGAGAGTCTGCTTGCATAGCTGGGAAGTGAGATCAAGCCTTTTGCTGCAGCTGCTGCCTGAAAAGCGCAAACAGATAACAGGCAGGCCTGTCAGCTCTCTCTTTCCCAACTCTTTCTCCACTTGCACAATTCCTAATTGAGTTTTTCTTTAATAGACTCAAGAGACTAAAGTCCTGCAGTTGTATTGAGAAAATGACAAAGTACCAAAGCTTGACAGATCTAAAAAAAAAAAGAATTGGAACAAAAGATGCAACAGTAAAAAAGTGTTTGAAAATTGTTTGGAAACAACATACATTTGAATATTAGTAGAACGAGGTAGAAACCCAGATTAATTATGTCTTAAAGTGCTAGAAGTGGCTATTATTTAAAATGTTTCATCTCAGTGGGTTATGAGGACTCAAAGGTTTAAAAGGCTGGTAACATTCAAGCAGTTTGTGGGAAAAAAGCGATCAAGACAATAAAATGACACACTCAGTATTATACTATCCTCAATCAGCTTCAGTGGACACAGGTTGCACATATGTAAACAAGTTCACAGAATTATCCCAAAAGAAAACAACTGGGCCGTCCCAAACATGAGAAACGATGGGCTAAATGCCTAGAAGTGAGGAGCATGGGGTACGTTGGGATTCTGGTTTTAAGTTCCTCAAAGCTTTGTTCTGATCAAATCAGTGGAAAACAAACCTCCTTCCATCAAAATCATACTGCCAACCTCGGGATTGCTTCTTGTTGACATCCGCCTGGTCAAAGTTGTTTTGCTGGCCAAAAAAAAAAAAAAAAAAGATTGTAAAACATGGGCTGTGTGCCCATATTTTACGAGTTAAAGAAAAGCTGTTTTTCACTTGTGGCGCATTGTAAATACCCACTAATGTACTGCAGCCATAATTCAAAACATGTCAAAGGCACTTTGAAACAAAAGCACTTTCCTTTCATCCTACGTTATTAGATAAAAGTGACTCAGATGTGGTCAGAGAGTGTCACAGATTCCTTTTATTGTCAATTAATAACAATGTGGTTATTAAGTGGTGGAGATGTGCTAACAGCAATCTTGCTTCTTAGCAACAGACCAAAAAAATAATTTCCTTAGACGATACTGTGGCTTCCTGTTGATCGACACCTAAGTAGTTGTTTGGAAGAATGTTCTCAATTTCTTCAAATGAATCCAATCTATTGCCTTTTAGCAACTCCTAATGACAGCTTTAACACTTGCACACACATCTAATACATGTTTTGTGTCTTTAGGTGCCTTTATAATCTGTTGGACCCCAGGCTTGGTCCTCATTCTTCTCGACGTCTTCTGCTCCAGCTGCACCGTCCTCAACTATGAGAAGTTCTTCCTGCTCCTCGCCGAGTTCAACTCGGCTATGAATCCTATCATCTACTCATACCGGGACAAGGAGATGAGCGCCACCTTCAAGCAGATCTTGTGCTGCCAGCGGCAGGAGAACGTCAACGGGACGGTGGCGGACGGATCCGACCGCTCGGCGTCTTCGGTCAACCATACGGTGCTGGGCGCCGGCGGCGTCCATCACCATCACAATGAGCACTCGGTGGTTTGAAATGATTGCAAAAAAGGAAGTCTGAAAGTTGTAGTTGTTCTGCCTGAGACTAGGTAGATGCTAAACGAGGGATGTGAATGTGACGGATCATAGACTGCTGTTTGAATTTACAAACAGGTGACACAAACTGATGACCAGCATGATGGCGAGATCAATGAAGAAACGGCGGAAGAAGAATGGAAGTAAAAGGAATGATGGAAAGACCATATGAAGGAAGAGGGGAAGTCTAACGTTCGGGGACTCTGACAGGGTGTTTGTATTTTTGTTTAGCTGTATGTTGGGTTGTTTTGTGTTAAATGTGTTTTTGTTTTTGTTGTTTTTTTTTTTACAAGCAAAGATGATATGAATTATTTAAGTAATCTGTGAAATGGTAATGCCAGTATAACCATTCTCTTTCTCCATTCAGTCTGTTTAACCTTGGAACTACTACACTTCAAGACACACCAAGACAAAACTGTTGAGAAACATTTCCATGTTACCTTTCCCCATAACTGAGGCATAAAAAACTCCTCATAGATTCACCACCATTCTACTATCTGAACAGAAGCTGCTTCATGATTATGTCAAGCGATGGAGCAGATGGACTGTGCTGTGAATAGTCAAAACAGTATCAACTTCGCACATCATCAGTTTAAATCTTTGATCATTTTCAGAAAGTCTTGAAAAAGTCTAGCATCTGTGAGAGTTTACCTAAAGAAACCTAGGTTTTTTGGGGTTTTTTTTTAGATCTGTTACAGAGTTTTGACATATTTGTTGCATTGATCAGCTCAAGACTCCAGAGGAAAAATAGTCTTTTCGTTTGCAGAACCAGCAGAGTGAATTTAGAGGCATTTGGATCCATTTGCTGCCGTTTTGCTCCTTTCTTCTTTCATTTTGAGATGATAACCTATTTCATTTCTATGCTCATAAGCTGCTGCATAATATTTTATTTCTTTGCAAATAAGTCAAAAGCAAATATTTCCATACAGAGTATAAACACTAGCATATTTTTCTCCACTGTCTGGCAATAAACCAGACTTTAATTTTTCCTACCAATGTCAGAATTACCAAAATTATTTCTTATTCCGGCATTTGGCAAATGGTAAAAATGTTATGATTATTTCAGATTTATCACAGTTCTTGTTCAGACAGTGTCAAAATATATATTTTTTTTCTTTTTACTGTGCTGGCCTTATAACCACAGTGTATAAAGATGCAGTTGTGTGTGTTTCTTTATGCTAGTTATGAAGACATTAAGGGATTGTTTAAGGGATTCCACTGCATTGCAGTAAAACGCAGTGACAACTTAATATCTTAGAACGCAACAAATTGGTAAATGTGCTACATCATTAGACCTGGTCTTTTATCTGTAGAGATAAAACATGGCTACGCTCCTACTGTTTTTTAATCTGATTTAACCCACTGGTCTGCATATTTTAAAGAAATATCGGTTATTCCAATACCTATAACTTGGTTATTCCAACTGAGATGAAGCTCTGCTCAAACCGTTTGTCCTAAGATGACAGCAGGTCGAGTGAAATAAATAAGCGCAAACAAATTTGCACTCAGACAAAAATTTTGACAAAATTCTCCGAAAATGGAGGGCTTATAAAGTCACCTACTGGCAGAGCAGAAGCATGACTAAGACTCTGCAGTCATGCTTGGAGCTGTGACACACTCACTTCAGACAGAGTGGTGCTGTGAGTGTGCCACTAGCAGAGCCAATAAAACTCCAGTCACACATAGTTCTGATGAGCAATTTCCTCAAAGGTCTGCTATTTCAAGATAGCAGTCCGTTGGTGTCGCAGACATTATGCCAGGCTTAAACAAAAACCATTTCACCTTTCTGTGAAAATGTATGTTTTCTAATAAACTGTTCCTTTAGGGAACCACAAGCTTGTGTTAAAAACACCCAGTTGAACGTCATTAAGTTACAAGAAAGGGAGTTCCCTAAACTTTTGCTGCAACAGTGTTACTGATCACATAAGCAAGGTTACATGTACATAAAAGTATGTAGTTTGGTGAAGTAGCAGCAGATGAGACGAGCTGACAAACTCTGCTTGACATCCTCTTCTAGTATTCGTCAAACTAATTTGTTAAATTTGTTGAAATACAATAATTATTGTCAAAGTTCTGACTTTACTTTGATGTCCTGTGCTAGACTCTCTTGGATTGAGAAAATAGTCATTTGTTAGTGTTTATAGACCATGAGAACATTTGTTTTTGAAAGGCACGTAGACTGAATCAAAAGAGGGTCCAGTGAAAATAAATCAGTGAATAGATGTTTTATTTTTTCTTCATTTTTTTTTTTTTGCAACTGTTCTGCATCAGGTAAATTCTGGAGCATTGATATGATTCCTAAATAGAGTCAGCTATGCCACACTTTGTATAGTAAAAACTCATGTATGAATAAAGTATGTCTGTTTCAAAAAGAAGGGGTTTATTTGCCCCTTCACCAATCTGATAAATTATGGAGCATAACATGTTTTTGCTACTTTCAAGACTTCTTTTGGTTTTGCTATTTCTCAAGCCTAAATGATTCAGATCATTTATTTCAAACAAAGATAACCCGAGTAAATACAAAAAAAATATGTTCATGTAATAATTTAAGGTGTTGTTAATTGCATCTAAACCAATCTGACCCTAAATGTAATTACCAACATTGTGGATGAACTTTTTTGTAGTTGTTTTTTTCATCTTACTGGAGACTGAAAGAAGCATTTTAGAGCATAAACATGTTAGGTAATGCTAAAAGATTATGTACATGAAAACTTAGCATAGCTTGTCTAACTAAATGATGGATTTGGTGGTTTTAAATGGAATCTAAACTTCTATATAAATTAAATAATCAATAGAAGCATGCAGTACCAACGCAAAGTATTATACAGCTGATACTAATGCCTAAATGTGGTTTCATGGAAATGCTTAAATTTCAGTTAAACATGTCCATGAAACCAACATGAATTTTAATTTCCTTTACTAAGCTAAACAGTAACACGGTCAGTTGAAGTTTCCCGTATTTAGTCAACATGTGATATTTAAAGACTTCAAATCCATGTTGCCAATTTATTTCAGCTTAGATTCTTTTCTTTCAGGTAAAAAAAAAAAAAGAAAGAAGAAGCACTGTTATGAACTGCACCTTACTCAAAGCTGTCAAGTTGTTTTTTTCTTTCACCGTGTCATGTCAAGAGGGCTGTTTTGGTGCTTTTTTTTTTTTGTCTGATTGTTTTTACACATTTAAAAGGGAGATTTATAAAATGCCTTGTCTTTTTAAATAAAAATGAATTATCAAATTTGCCCCTACCTGTTCATCTGGACACTGGTTTGTGCTCTCCACTTCGGTAACTGAAAACCTAAAGACCTTTTCTATACTGTCATTCTTCACATTCACAACTTTTTTTTTTTTCTGACTAATGAATTATTCAGCTAATTATAGCAAACCAAATAAACTGCCAATGCTTGTCTGTTTACTATTGTGTCACCCTTTGCATACCCTTGTAAGTATAATTGTACAGTTTTCTTAAATATATCTGAAATATGTTATTCCAAAGTTAATCGCGAAAAAGTGAAACATGTTTGTTGGATTTCATTGTCATATTTTTGCCCAAGTGTACTGTAGGAACGCCTTTGTGGTTTGATGTCATCTATTTTCTGCTGTGAATGAAGTGAATTTTCTGATGGCCATATAAAAATTCTGAACTTTTTTTTTTTTCACTTGCTTAAAGCTAGCTTTGTGAGTGCAGTGCATTCCAGTTTGTTTAGAAAAGTAACCCTACACTAGACTTAGTTGGTTGGAAGTCTCACGCTTGTTTCACCTTCACACAAGTCCAGCAGTGTTTCCATGTAAATACGTCCAACAGCGGTTTCACAGAGCAGAGAGGTGAGAAGTGAAACCCCCTGGAGTTGAACAAGAGCAGCAGGCGGAGTTAAGTTATCTTTACTGAGTCTGCTAGTAGTCTGGCATTTTACTGGAGCGAGGGATGTTACTCTTAAGGGCAATGCATTTGTCTCAACACTTATTTTCTTCTGTAAATCTCATATTTCGTTTCATGATCTGTCCATTTCTGTTCAGATTAGCATGATGTGCCTCATTTGTAGTTTTGTGGTGAATCAGTGTTTATTGTGGCCTTCTACTGCTGTTGTTTGGCACAGCTAGCTTGCCAAACAAGCTAGCTGTGCCAAGCGCAATTCCCATGTCTCTTTTTTTTTTTTTTTTCCAAAAAACACTACTTTAAAACCTTAAAAATGCCAAACCTTTCTGTACCAGTAGTTTTAGTGTGTAAATGTGACACAGAAATTGATTTTCAATCATATCAATACATCAGACGTCAATGCCAATGAATATACACCCAAAGCAATTGTGTTGATATTTCAAAACCAATAAAAAAAACAACAACATTAGAAACATTCTAATTTGTGTGTGAGTGAAATTTGTGATGTGTTGAACAGAATTAAATGAACAAAAAACATTGTGTTTGGTCTTGCCAGGGCTGTTCCTCTGTTATCTGCTTCTGTTTCCATGACATCTAGGAAGCTCAGACAGGGAACACTGAGGGTGGCTGATAGACAGACGCAATAATACATGAACCTTATGCCAGTTCACACATTTTCGACAGCCTTGGTCTTCAGCAGGTGTCTCTGCACCAGCCTGCTTTCCATTTAAACACCTTGCAGCTTCAGGAGGGATGTGCTACAAAAAGCTTCTGAAACAATTATTGGCTGGCATTTTAGACTTGATTCACAATATGTAGCTAGCAAATAAATAATATAATGTGCTACTCTTGTGCAAACAGAATGTGGTTATCAAAGTGATAGCATAACATTCTGACTAGCATGGCGACATAGTGCCATTTTACTGCACAGTCAATTAACTTTTAACTTCAGTTGTTATAAAAATTATACATATATATATATATATATATATATATATATATATATATATATATATATAAAAAAAAATTGTGTATAAATGTATCTCACAATATCTCTCTCTCTCTCTCTAACAAATG